TGCTGACTCTGTAAACCGCTTAGAGAGGGCTGAAAGCCCTATGAAGTGGTATGTAAGTCTAACTGCTATCCTGGCTGGATTACCATATTTTACAATTCAGTAACCTCATAAGGGCCATAATTTCCTAGTACCGTCAAATAGACCTAAGCAAGTTAAATATCCTCCAAAGCTAGAGCAACATTTCTTTTTTTTTTAAAAAGAGAGAAGGACTACTTTGCTTTGAGGGAATTCATGACATTTAAACCAAGTTTGTAATACCTATGAGAAACTCTTTATTCTGAATTGTAAAATATCCTTCAAACCAGTGGATAGTACTGATTTGATTTAAAATTGAGTATAGTATAGCGAGATACACAATTTGAATTTAAAGTACACTTCATGTTTTTCAAATTTAAATTTGGGGAAGCTATTATTCCAGAAAATAGGTAGATATCATGTTAACTTCAGACACTTTTTACATGCACATCGTCACAATTTCAGAAAAGCTTTTGAAAACTGCTTATAGTTTTAAGTATTTCCATTTATGCATGAAAACGAAGCATTTTGCTTCTTCAAAGTGATGTTTAAAGTGCACATTTTTGCAGGAACTTGGCACAGAAATCCTTGGATGCTGTAAAGATTTTCAGACAGTTCCTGGATGTGGAATAAGCTGTAACGTTAGCAGCCCTGAAACCTTATTGGGTGATCAGATTGAGCAGTATATGACCAGTCTCAGCCCTCATATTGATGGCTTTGATAAAGGTGTTAAAGATCAGACTCCACTCCCCAAAGCAAGAGGTAAGCAACGTGCTATTTATAAATGGAGAAGGTTTGCTTAAGGAATTGCCCAAGTTACAGTAGGTCCAACCAGCTCACGTTGGCTATGTTCCTAGTTGAAGATGTTAAAAAAAACCTTTAAAATGATCTGCCAGTCAAAAGGTATTGTAAAGCTGTGCCATCTTTCCTTCCCGATTTACTTTTTCGTAAGGAGAAATATGGAAGTGGTGAGAAAACAGGTCAAGATTAGATATTGTTTCTTAGATTTTTTTAAAATGAAGATAACCTCATAAAAGCCTTTTTAAGCTTGGACAGTAGAGTGTTCTGATCCGTTTAAAGGTAAAGGTTCCCCTCACACATATGTGCTAGTCGTTCTCGACTCTAGGGGGCAGTGCTCATATCCGTTTCAAAGCCAAAGAGCCAGCACTGTCCGAAGACGTCTCCGTGGTCATGTGGCCGGCATGACTAAATGCCGAAGGCACCCAGAGCACTGTTACCTTCCCACCAGTGGTGGTTCCTAGTCTTCTACTTGCATTTTTACGTCCTTTCATACTGCTAGGTTAGCAGAAGCTGGGAAAAGTAATGAGAGCTCGCTCTGTTACGTGGCACTAGGGATTCAAACTGCTGAACTGCCGATCTTTCTGATTGACAAGCTCAGCGTCTTAGCCATTGAGCCACCACGTTCCTGTTTCTGATCAGTTTAGGAGCTTCAAATTTAGCAAGCAACAGACCACTGGCCAAAAGAAGACCAAAAGGAACACTAGATTTAGTAAATCACCTAATTGATAATAGATTGAGTTTAGAAAAGTTTTGTTAAAAAATTCTTAGGGTTCATTATATTCATCCTAAGCCTTTCTAAGGTCTAAATAGGAAACAGGTTTTTTTTCAAAAAGGTTGGAGTAATTTAAACAACCCATAAGATAGAAGGAGAAATAAATGGAGGAACATTCCTAAATGAAGTATCTCCAGCTTCTGCAAATTGAGATGCTGAGGTAGACCCCCAGGACTGTACAATGATTATCTTAATGCCAGTGAATCTGTAATGTTCAAAGTGAAAGACGTTTGCCTTAGCCTGGTCTGAATTGTCTGATTATATGTACTCCATTCTGCATCACTTGCAGTCAAATGTCCTTTCTTCCCTCTGGAATTCAGTTTTTCTTGGTTCTTCATAGTGCCTCATAAAAAGATATTTGCTTTCTGTGCTCTTTCCTATCTAATTTTAATCATTGCCAAGCAGTAAAAGGATACATATACAAATCTAGTTCCAGAACATTGTACTTCCCATAACATCTTGAAAGTTTTGAAGAATATTCTGAATTGGCTTACCAAGAAGTAAATTGATGTATTTTACCATACTTATCAAGTTATATAGATTAATGCCTATTAAGGAAACAGGTTGGAATATACTGGTGAGTTTTTAACATTCCCTGTAGCTTATAAAAAGTCTTTCTTTAAATTCTCACAGTTCTGCATTTTTATATCTGACAGATACGGCAGTTTCTCATACTTATTCAGTGTTGATTGGGAATCGGGAATGGATGAGACGGAATGGCCTGCATATCCCCAGTGATGTTCATGAGGCCATGAGAGACCATGAAATGAAAGGACAGACAGCAATTCTGGTGGCCATAAATGGTAATGCTAACCAATCAGGATTAGAGGAAGTTTAACTTCTGAAAAATGTGCAAAGCCATGCTACTCTGATGTTGCTCTGTTCTGTAGCTAAAAATTCAAATTAGGAAGCCATTGTATTTTAACACCATTCCCTGTGCTAGTGCCCTCCAGATGCATGGAATATTAGCTTCCCTAATTCGTTCTGCTAACATCACCACTGGGTATGCTGGGTGGAGAATTACAGGAGATAAAAACCAGCATCTCTGGAGGAAACTAAGCAGGGGTGAGATGCTACTGGTTCAGACCAGTTCGCCTGAACCGGTAGTAAAAAATGATACCGGTCATTACCGGTATGATACCGATGATCAGCTGGGTGATGGTCAGCTGTGACGCGTAATTTATATTAGCTAGAATCGTTGCTTTCTAGCTAATCTAAATCGCGTAGCACAGTAGATTCTCCCCCCTTGCTGTTCTACTTACCTTTGCAAACTCGGAAGGTTTCAAAATGTTCCTTTTTAGCGCTGTGTGGGTGCGCCCCCAGCATGCATGCACGTGCTCGGTAACAGACTCACCGAACTGGTAGCAGACTTCATAGGATTACACTGCTGACACTAGGGTAGGGACGGTTGCAGTCAGGGGTGGGTTTCAACCGGTTCGCGGCAGTCCCTGCGAACCGGTTGGTCGGTGAACCCGGAAGTAAGTAACTTCCGGGAACGGTGAAGGGCGCGCCCGCCCGCCCGCCCGCCCGCGGTCCTTACCCGGTTTTGACGAGTTCTGCGCTTC